GGACAGCTGTGCAAATATATGGAGAAGTCTGGACCATAGAGTACTTGAAAAGGAGCAATATATAACAAGGCAAGAAAGGTAGGTTGAGGGAAGATTGTCAAGGGCTTTAAATAACAAGCAGAGGAGCTTGTATTGGACCCAAGAAGTAATAGGGAGCCTAGTACCTCAGTGGTCCATGATTTTGTAGTGTGAGAAGTCTTTCCCCCAGTTGTAGGTTCTCTGTTGTTCAGTCATTTTTCAGTCATGTCCAATTCTTCATAACCATGTTTGGGGCTTTCTTGGCAAAGATTCTTCAATGGTTTGTCATTGCTTTCTCCAGTTGCATTTTACAGATGAGGAAACCAAGGCAAAGAGGGTTACATGACTTGTCCAGGGTCACCCAGCTAGTACGTGTCTGAGGTGATTTGTACTCAGGAAGATGAGTCTTCCTGACTTCAGGCCCTGCACTCTAACCACTCTGCTACCTAGCTGCCTGGGTCTCTCTTCCCACCACTGAAATTACTTTACCTTTACTTGATGTATTACGTGTACACTTCTCTGCAAACCTCTTGTTTCCCAGAAGGACAACATGATAAATTCCTGGGCAGCAGGTGACTATCTTAGTACAGGGTCTGGTACGTAGGCGTTTAAGAAATGCTTGTGGAATTGAATCAATTGTGAATCATAAATTGTCTAGGGCTTTCCAAATTATCTTTGCTTTTTTTTTCTTGGTTGGGCAATGGGGGTTAAGTGACTTGCCCAGGTCACACAGCTACTAAGTGTTATATGTCTAAGGCTGGATTTAAACTCAGGTCCTCCTGAATTCAGGGCCAGTACTCTATCCACTGAGCCACTGAGCTGCCCCCTTCAAATGATCTTTTTGAGTTGTTATTGGAAAAAAAATAATCACTTGGTAGCCTAACTTGTGAGAAACTTCTCCAGACCTATACAGGCTGGTAGATACCTGGTCAAATGGTAAATACCTGATACCTCCCCACCAGGCCAGCATAAAAACGTTGATAGGAGCTTTCATGGTGCTTGCTTATACCCACTTGGAATGGGCTTTGAGATCCCCAGCTAACTTGAATGCCAATGTGTGTTATTAGCAAAGGCCTTTGGTAGAGGATATTTCCACCATAGAATTAATTAGGTTTTTGTGGGTTGGTCTGGAAAACTACCTTTCACTTATGGCATGGTTTCTATGGAGAAATGAGTTGGAAATTCTAAACAACCGATTTCCAAATTAAGGTTTTGGAACAAAACTGCTGCTCTGCATTTCCAGCTACTTACAGGGCATCTCCATGCTCTTGGATGACCTACCAGAACCTCAAACTTAAAACTGAATTTATTTTTTTTCCTTTGTAAATCTATCAGTCCTCCCAATGCACATATTTCTATTGGTGGTACCACCATTTCAGCAGCATCTTTGGTTCTTTCTTGTTCTTTAACCTGTCACATCAAAATAGTAGCCAAATCCTGTCAATTTTACCTCTGCAAGTTCTCTCAGCTATCTACTTTCTGCCTACTCATGCTGCCATCACATCAGACCCTCATCATCTCTCACCTGCCTTTTAATGAATTTCCCTTCAAATATCTCTTCTTTCTACTCCATCTTCCACATATGTGTTTGACATTTTTTCCCCCCAAAGTTCAGTCTGATTGTTACTCTCTTGCCTCAACACCTTCAGTGGCTCCTATTGCCTATAGGATAAAATAGAAATTTATATATTTATACAATATATGTGATTTAAGGCTTTCTGTGTTATGAAACTTTTTTTTCCATCCATAGTTCTTCTTATTTTATTTCATGCACTTTACATTATAGCTGGAAGTATGCTGGAATCCATTGGCCTGTGAGAGCTGATTGTTAAATTTTCAGTGTCAGCATTTAGAAATAGGCAAATGCTACAAATCAGGCCTTGATTTATTTGATAACAAATCTTGTTGATAATCTAGACTTAAGAAAGTGATGGAGATACAGTTAATAATGGAGATTGAATTTAAAAGTGTGTCCTGCACACATTTCCCCCTTCTGAAAAGCTGGTGGTTAAACATTTACCAGCATACCTTTGTTACAGCCAAACCAGAATGCTAGATGTTCTTTGAACTTGGCATATTATTTCCTGTCTTTACATTCATCTTGGCTTTCTCTATACCTGGAATACAAACACTCCTCATCTCCATCATACAGAATCTTCCTTCATCCTTGAAGACTGAACTCAGGTGCCACCTCTTTTCATGAAACCTTCCCCAATTCACCCAGCTGAAAGTGTTTTCTTTTCCTTCAAGTGATCTCTTTGAGCACAATGTACGTTACATTTATATTTATCAGTCTCTCTTCCTCCTAAATGGAGGTAGTGACCTTGGAATGCTGGAGGAGGAAGAGAGGGCAGAGGGAGAGCTTTAATTTTGCTAACTAGGTATTCTCCTCCCTTTTTCCTTCCCAGTTGAAAGAATGAAAGTACTGTCAGCACCCTCTAAATTTAGCATATTGGGGCAAAACCTGGGTCACCCCACCCTAGTTGCAGTTTTGGTCTCAATTGATATATGATGGGCTGAGGGGAGAGTTTCTAGCTATGGAATTTCAGGTCCCAAGGCAAGATCACCTTGCTTAAGCTGGTATTATCCTGCTGGTAGGGCAAAATGCAGTCTGCTCATGTTTTATTTTCTTTCTTCAAATCCTAAATCCTTGGTTCAGGTTGTTGCTTTTAAATAAGCATTCCACTAGCATTTAACTCTGGCCATTTCATTGTGATTATAGCTGGAGGCTGGTGTAGTGGGAGGTATGACTTTAGAAAAGAAATACAACAGCAGCACAAAATCAAGAAATTTGGTTGGACACTCTGCATCCTCATTCCCTGTCCCTACCACTCCTCAAATCTCCCATCCCGAGGACTAATCCTTTCCCTAGTCATGGGTGCCATCTGACCTCAGAATCTCTTCTCTTCTCTGTGAATTTTGGCTTTTGAGATGGAACAAGTCCGCCCCTAGCCCCCCCCCCCATATTATTAGAGCTGGAAGAAACTTTAAAGATCAACACCTTTTACTTTACAAGTGGGGGAAACTGAGTCTCAGAAAGATGAAGTGGCACATCCAAGGGAACATGGCTAGTAGTAGTCAGTGGCAAAACCCAGTCCTAGGTGTTCTGACTGACTTCCAGTCTAACACTTTTCAGAAGGGAAAAAAAAAACAGTCAGAAGACCTATATTCTCGTCAGAGCCACAACAGCCTAATGTGAATAGCATCTTATTCTAGGGCATTGACATTTGGTATGTGGGTGGGGGCATATTTCTTCCTCATAGGGTACCCAATCTCCCAATGGCAACTCCTTTCATTCCCATGCTCAGCTCTATTGGTCTATGCCTCCCTTGACTACTACCCTAAGGTAGCATCACAGTGATTTCCCTTTCCCAGGCTGCCTCCTCCCATATGTATTGTCTTTTTTATAAGGATATAAGCTCCTTGAGGGCAGATACTGTCTCTCCCTTTTATGTGTGTATGCCCAATACTGACACATAGTAAGCACTTAATAAATAATTTAAAAAAAGGTAAGTCCCATGGAGATATGGGCAATGACACAACTATATTTGTGCTTGGATTGGTCACCGTGTCTTGGTGCTACTGCCCTTCCCAAACTGCATTCACCTCAGGTGCAAAAATTCCTAAGTGTGACTATGGTTCTCTTCTGCTTCTACCATCTATAGTCTGTGCCTAGTAAATTGTAGGCCCTAAATAAGGTGTACACCCATAACTGAGGGACATAGCCAGAAAGTGTCAGCCTTGGAACACTAATAATAACCGACTGAATGGAGGTCATTCGTCAGCAACAGAAGGAACCTTCATTTAGAGATAATTTTTAAATATGGCATTAAAGAAGACCAGAGGCTTTCTGAATCCCAGGAAGGGGCCTAGAGGGCTTCCATATAAAGGAAGACATTAATATAAAATGTTACTAATAGAAAAATAGAATGTAAACTTGGAATGTATTACTCTTCTCTATGGAGTGCCATTTCTCACCTTAATTTAGTCCTGGAACACTTTCGGGTGGGTTTCAATCTGGAGAATAAAACTGATGCAGAGGTGAGGGGTGGGGGGACTTGATAGCTGCCTTTAGGAATCCCACTTGCTCCCCTTGGACCCACAGGGCAAAACTAGTAAAAATGAATCGATAAAGGCTGATAGCTCTAGTGCTGAAAAGGAGGTTCAGAGGCAAGCTAGTTCTACTTTTTCATTTCACAAATGAGGAAATTGAGGATCAGGGAAATTAAATGACTTGCCTAAGGTCACGCAGGTATTGTCAGAAGCAGAGTGTGAGTCCATATTACAAAGAAAGTATTTGCACTTAAGGAAACATCCGTAGCATTACAGCTTTCCAAATGTAGAATTGGCTGCCTAACTGTGAAGGGTAATTCTCTCCCTTCCTGTCCCTCTCCCCCTCCCTCCTTCCTTCCCTCTCTTTTTCTCTGTGTCTCTCTCTCTGTGTCTGTCTGTGTTTCTCTCTCTGTCTCTGTCCCTCCCCCTCCTTTCCACTTCCTCCCCTTCACCCTCCCCTTGACACTCCTCCTTCCCCTCTCCCTTTTATTTGGTGACTTGCTCCAGGTCATTACATTTCTAAATATATGATCCTTTGATTCTATGATCTTATGACTTCTAACAGCCAGAACAATGGTTCAAAGAATGTTCTAGTCAGCCACTCACCGCACCTTATAAAGTCATCCAGTCCTACCCCCAAATTTTACTGACAAGGATATAGGAGCCCTGAGACATGAAATAACTTGTCCAGAATTATACAATCAGACTGTCAATAAACATTTATTAAAGTGCCTACGATGTGCCAGGCACTGTGCTAAGCCCTGGGGATACAAGGAAAGATAAAAGATAGTCCCTGCCCTCAAAGAGCTCACAATCTAATGGTGAAGACAACATGGAAACAATTCTGCCCAAATAAGATATATATATATATGATAAATTGGAAATAATCAACAGAGGGAAGGCACTGGAATCAAAGGGGATCAGGAAAGGCTTGCTGTAGAAGGTGGGATTTAAGCAGGGACTTGAAAGAAGCTAAATCTGAGATTCAAACCCACATCCTCTGACTCTGCATGTAGAAGTCTCTTTTCCACTGCACTTCTCTGCCTATGCAGAAGGGATGCCTTCTTTCTTTCATCAATGGATGCAAAACGCAGAAGCCCTTTAGGTCTTTTCCTCCTGCTTCTCCATTGAGATTGGCAGCTCCTGTAAGACAGGGTTCGTGTCTTATTTTTACTCCGCTGTTCTTCATAGCGATCAGGATTATACTGTAGACTTGGGGAACGTCCATTAAATAGTTACTGAAGTGAAACATGAGCTCTTGCATACATCAGGACTGATGATGCTGAACACCTGAGCAGCTTGCAGATCAGGGCTTGACAAATCCCTGTTACCAGCTCATCATGGGGCTTGGCAATTTCAATTTAGTGCCTGGTTGCTGAAGAGCAATCTTTCTTCAGTCTTTTAGAGGGTGCTTTGTTCTGCTTGTTTGTAAGCAGCCTGCATTTGCTTTTATGACAACTTGAAAGGAAGCCTGAAGCACTAGACTGTGCTCCTTGGAGTGGTCTTAAGTTTGAAACTGTCTGGAGTCTCATGAGCTTCTTGGTTATTACTGCCCCTGTGCCAGCTTTATCTTCGCTTCCACTCCTTACTTCAGGTGAGGAACTGCTGGTCACCAATGCTTCCAATTCCTTTGTATGTGTATGGCCATTTAGGGGAAGAATTCTTAACAAAAGGAGAGATGGAGGAAATTACAAAAGATACATTAGATGATTTTGATGATGAGAATTGAAAAGCTTTTTTTTGGGGGGGGGCTAGGCAATGGGGTTAAGTGACTTACCCAGGGTCACACAGCTAGTAAGTGTCTGAGGCGGAATTTGAACTCAGGTCCTCCTGACTCTAGGGCTACTGCTCTATCCACTTTGCCACCTAGCTGCCTCTATTGACAAGCTTTTGCACACATACAAAAAAATCAGTGCAACTAGGATAAGAAGAGAAAGAGTAGACTAGGAAAATATCTGTGTCAAATATTTCTGATATGGGTCTGATATTTAATTATAAACAGATCCATCAGGGAGGGCAAAACCAAGATGGCATAGTTGAGATAGCAATTTTGCCAAGCTCTTTCAACCCATCCTTCTAAACAACTTTAAAAAGCCTATCAAATCAAATTCTGACCAGAACAACCAGCAAAAAGTCACAGTGATTCATTTTTCTAGTCTAGGCAGCTTAAAAGGACAGAAAGATCTGTGGTCACTGAGGTGGGAGCTGGCCCAGAACAAAGACTAGCAGAAGAAGCTCCACCTATGGGCTTTGGAGGCAGTGGTGGCAACAGCAATAGCTATGGCAGCACCAGGAACATCCAATACCCAGGTTAAGTAATGAGACTGAACACCTGGTCAGAAAGGGATTCCAGGTCAACCCATGTGCTGGCACTCAGTACAGGATTGGCCACCATTTAGCAGCTCCATAGCTTAGTACCCAGTTCTAGGTCACAGTTCCAGGGCAGAGAGGAGTGGTTGTAGTCATGTTGGAGCAAGGTCCCTGCTCAGATAAGGACAACACCAGGAGACAGTGACCAGACCAAACTGCACATCATAACACTTTAGAAGTATCAAAAACTTAAGTCCCTGGGGGCAGCTAAGTGGCACAGTGGATAGAGCTCCAGCCTTGGAGTCAGGAGGACCCAAGTTCAAATCTGACTTCAGACACTTGATACTTACTAGCTGTATGACCCTGGGCAAGTCACTTAACCCCCATTGCCTCACAAAAACAAACAAAGAAACTCAACACAAAACAAACAAAAAAACCTTATGGCCCTCAGACCTAGCTGCAAAAACAACAGAACGTGAAGTTCAGGCCAGTCACACACACACCAACCACCCCATCCTTCCTGAGTCAGGTTTATGGTCAAGTTCTTTTGTTCTTGTTGTTCTTTGCTCATTTTCCAGACTATTTCTTAACTTTATGTTAGAGAGAAGAAGAGCTCAACTCTAACATATACATTGGAAAAATGCGCAAACACCACCACCAACAACAAAAGAACCTGGCTACAAAAATCTATTATGGTGACAGGAAAGCTCAAGACATAAACTCAGAAGAAGAAAATGACATGAAAACATCTATAATCAAAACCTCAAAGACAAATGCAGATTGGACACAGACCCAACAAGAATTCCTGGAAGGGCAGGAATAAAAAAGAGAAAAATAAAAGACTAATAATAAAATAAGAACAATAGGAAAAAAAGGGGAAAGAAATTAGAGCAATGCAAGAAATTTATGAAAAGAGAATTAACAACTTGGTAGAAGAGACAGAAAAAACATTGAAGAAAATAACTCCTTAAAAATAAGAATTGTCCAAATGGTTTTAAAAAATGGTATACAACCTCACTGAAGAATATAACTCCTTAAAAATTAGAATTGATCAAGTAGAAGCCAATGACTCCATGAGACATCAAGAGACAACAATAGAAATATAAACTCAAGAGCCATTACCCAATATATAAGTGATCAAGGGATATGAACAAATAGTTTTCAGAGGAATTGTAAATTGTTATTAATAATATGAGAGAATGCTCTAAATCATTAATAATACAGGAAATAAAAATGAAAACAACTCAGGTTTCACCTCATACCCAGCAAATTTGTCAAGATGGCAATAGATGGGAATAGTCAAATGCTGGAGGGGTTGTGGTGGTGTTGTGTGTTGTGTGTTGGTGGGGCTATGAATTGGTCCAACAGTGGAAAGTAATTTGGAATTATGCAAGTAAGTAAATAAAATATCCATATCCTTTAACCTAGAGATTGCACTACTATGCTTGTATCTCAGGAATATCAACAACAACAAAATACCCTATATATAGCAAATATTTCTAGCAGTACTTTTTGTAGTAACAAAGAACTGAAAATAGATTTGACAATGGATAAATAAATTGTGCTAGATGAATACAATGAGATAGGCATGGCCCATGAATAAAATACCCTGACCACCTTCTGTCTATTCACCTTATTCCTGGAGCCTTTCTAGAGGTTCTATTGAGATCATTCTGTATACCAACATGGTATAGTAGAAAGAACACTGGGTTTGTGATCATGTGATCATGGTATCATATATCTAGAGTTGAATGGGGTCTTAGGGGTCATTTATCCCAACACTCTCATTTTGAAGAAACAATGAAACTGACACAGGAAAAAAAGTGAAGTGACTTTTCCAAGATTGGATACACGGGTAGCTTATTACTTGTAGGTAGCAGATCCAAGATTCAAATCCAGGTCCTCCAGATCTAGCTCTCTTGGGTAATTGTTACACCATATGACCTAAATCTCAACTTTATTTCTATCTGGGTGACCTTGGGCAAGTCCCTTCACATCTCTGGGCATTGTAACATTTTTCTGTTTTGTCTGAGTTTATGCATTTGTAAAATGAAGGGATTTGATTAGATGATCTCTAATGTCCCTTCCAAGTTCCTTCCCATGTCCCTGGGACACCCAATTTTGGTTCTTGACTTGAGACTCAGAAACAATACTCAATGGTGACAGGTTATTTTTGTTTTCTTCCTTTTTTTCTTAAAAAATGGAAAATACTTGTCTCCTAAGTTTAGGAGAAGCTAATGACTCCACAAGACATCAAGACACAATAATGGAAATATAAGCCCAAGAGCCATTACCCAATATATAAGGGATCAAGGGATATGAACAAACAGTTTTTGAAAGGAGAATTGAAGTTGGAGTACTGGTTACTAGATCCAAAACAACTTTGATGACCAACTGTAAATAGTTTGCTTTCCATTTTAATCTATTCTTGTGCTGAATGACCAGTTTGGTATATTTTGGGAAAAATAAAAAAAATATCTTGCTTCTCCTTTCCTCCCCTTCCCCCTTCTTCTCTCCTCTCTTTTCTCCTCTCCACCTCTGTGTCTCTTTATCTCTCTCTGTTCCTCTGTCTCTTTCCTCCCAATTCCTTTGTCTCTTATCTTTCTCCCTTTTCCCATAATTAGCTCCTTCCCCCCCTAATCAGACCACACAGCCAGAAGCTTTCTCTCTTCTTCCTTCCTCCCTGGGGCTGGTAATTACTGCTGAGCAGACTGTGGCTGAGCCTGAGCGATGACACCCAGTGTACCCTACTTATCACCAGCAGCTGCAGGAAATTGGGAAAGCAGAAAGTTACCTAAGTGTGGGAGGGAGTCTTGGCACAGGCTCAACCCATCTCAGGGATGGAGAAAAGAGAAAAGGAAACATCAGCTCAGCCAGCTCCAGCTAGGAAGGCCAGCTCTGGGAAAAGACCTTTAATGCTTGATCTCCAGGCAAAACCTTCACTTACACATAGCTGGAGCTTAGGTAGGTATGGAGGTGGGGAAGCAGGGAATGTCATTGTCCTTCAAGTCCCATGCAAACAAAACAAAACAAACTTATAAGGCAAATTGTATATGTAGATAAACTATAATGTGTGTTTGAATACTTATACGAACTAGTTAACCAAAAACAAATTGTAACGATTTCTAAACAATGCCCTATAACAACTATAGTTTTCCCACCATAACTCTGTCAGGTATGTAATATACATACATGGCTCCTTTTTTATAGATGATGAAATTGAATTTCAAAATGATCTTTGGTCACATGATTAGTGACCATGTTATTGGCATCATTATATAAAATAATGATTTATTTAATTTGTTAATGTATAATAAATTGTTAGCCTTGTTACATTGCTAACCTACCTCCTTTTCTGGTCATACATGTATCTGTTGAGGTCTTTCATGGCATTCATGTCCTTGTCATTGATTCGATGTCTTATCACACTCTCCATGTGGCTTTCCATTGCCCTTTGGGCTACTCAAGATTTTAAATATTTGGAGATCATGTGTAGCAGCCCTGTAACATCACTGGAAGAATATCATTGATTAAATGACAGATGTTTACACGATCAAGCTGCTGGGGATCACTGAAAATGTCACACAATTTTCCAAGAATGACTCAGTCCAATCCCTTCCTAATCAATTCTGGGTTCAGTTCACTATCTTATCTGTAGTGCCTGGCCAAGATGTGTATGCTGATGGATTTACTTACTAGACTTCCCATTCAATTGTATTTTGTAATCTGAGTAATATGTTTTCATTCACTTTTTTCCTCCCAGAGTGGGAAAGGATAGAATGATCTCATTTAAGTGATTATGAGTTTCGCTGAGGAGGCTAATTGGAGTATGTCCTGGGGTTCAATGCAATTAGCACAATGCCATCTGAGAAGAGGAACATTTGAAGAAACTCACAATTAATAGGAAGCTCTTCCTCTATTTGAACTGCATTTAGAGATATGCTACATGGCACTGATGAACTCTGTTTTATGTCTCCCTTGTTGATCCCAAACAATTCCTTGCTGTCAAAGCACATCTATTTTAACACAATATTCTCCTGGTGTGATGCTAAGTAGCTTCAAATGACCCAGAAAAATTTTTTTAAAGATGGATAGAAATATGGAATTTGAAAGATTTATTTTTTGTTTTTTTACTTTTCTTAGGCAATTGGGGTTAAGTGACTTGCCCAGGGTCACGCAACTAGTAAGTGTCAAGTGTTTGGTCTGAGGCTGGATTTGAGCTCAGGTCCTCCTAACTTCGGGGCTGGTGCTCTATACACTGTGCCACTAGCTGCCCCTGGAAAGATTTATTGTCAGTAAAAATAAACCCAGTATTTTACCAATCAGAACCCACAGGAAGGTATATAAAAAGATATCTTCAAGGAAGACAGTCATTTAGGAATGGTGTGGGATAACAGATGCAAAGCTCAAAGAGTTCCACTTGTATGCATGAAATAATAAAAGATTCAGAGGCAGGGTTCAGTAACATTGGGAAGATACTGAGTATTTATGGAAGGACCTGAAGAATTGCACAGGATGAGAAGATATAGATTGGGTCATGATCTGCACTGATGGAAAAATTAGCTTTGTTGATAACATAATGGCTCCATCTAAGCATTGCAGTTGGTGTACATAGCGGCTGATTAAAAAATGGTATCTTCTTTGTTGTACGTTTTATGGAAGCTTATATAATTTTAATGTATGTAAAGGAAAGATCTTATTTTCAGAGAATCTGTATAGCTTACTTTGGCCAATTCTAGCTACTCTTAACAACTTCTGTTTCCTTACATAGCATATTGGTTACTGAGATGGTTAAGTCCAAATATTGTATTTCTAATATCACAACATAAGAGATTTGACCACTATAGAAACATCAAGACATCTGTGTCACTTCAGATGTATTTGTTGTCTAACTTCCAGTTTCTGTTAACACTCTCAGAATGATCTAGCTTATTTGGATTTCGTTCTAAGCTCTTTGCAGTTTTCTTTTCCCTTTCACTGTTTTTTTTTTTACTGTTTGGTAAGGAAATATTTTTCATAGTAAAAGTGAGAGATAATAGATGAACAGTGCTTCATTGCTACCCCAGAAATATTAAAAGATCCAGAGGGAAGCTTCCAGCACGTTGGGCAGATTCTCTCTGGAAGATTCACAGAAAGCTAGAATTACATAGGGTGGAAAGCCACAGGTAAGCTTTGGTTACAGGATGAGGGAGTACCTACAATAAAGAGATCCTTCTAATTATATATTTTAATTTTATTATTTTATTTTTTAAAATATTAAGTATTCATTTCTTCTCCTACCCACTTCTCTCCACCTACTGAGAGAAAGAAAGAAGAAAGAAAAGGAAAAAGGAGGAGGAAGGAAGGAAAGGAAGAAGAAAAAGAAAGGAAGAAAAAAAAGAAAGACACAACTCTTTTGTCACATTAGTACAATCAAGGAAACAAATCCCCACATGGATCTCGTCTAAAAAATAAATTTCTTATCTACATATTAGTCTATTATCTCTCTGTCATCAGGTGAAGCATATTCTACTCTATCATTCATGTGGAATCATGATCACTCATTTAGTTGGTCTAATTATTTAAGTATAAGAGTAAAGTATATTATAAATGAAAAACCCTTCTCCTGAGTACACAAAAAAGAACAATTTTGTTACTAATTTCTTAAGTTTAAAATGTACTTAAAAGAAACTACATTTACAGTTTCACAAGCCTTCATAAGCCCTTTTTTATACCCTTACTAAATTGAAAGGTTCATTTTTGTTAGCACTCAAGTTCATAATAATAATTTAAATTAAAATGTGTATACTTTCCTGATGTCTTGCAAATCTAATGAAAATTATTTTAAACTAAAAATTATGGAAGAGGAAATACCTAAATATTTCACCAAGCTATGTACCAGAGACAGTAGCTTCATTGTAGGGTGAAGTGACAGCCCCTTCCAAAAATTTGTGATGAAGAAGGAAGAATAAGAAGAAAGAAGGAGGATGAAGAAGAAGAAGAAGAAGAAGAGCAAGAAGAAGAAGAAGAAGAAGAAGAAGAAGAAGAAGAGGATGAAGAAGAAGAAGAGGAAGAAGAAGAAGAGGAAGAAGAAGAAGAAGAAGAAGAAGAAGAAGAAGAAGAAGAAGAAGAAGAAGAAGAAGAATGGTGTTAGGAGCACTATACTCAAAATGTGCTAAACCTAATGAGAAAAACAAGAACAACCAAGAGAGCGTTTAAAAAATTTAGCTCTAGTAGAGGAAAGAAGATCAGAGAAGGGATAGGACTCCTGCTTGGGGTGGATGAGAATAACAACAGAGAGTTCACTGAGGGCTTATTATTTTGCTTCTGATCTCTGCCAGGGAGAATTGCCTTTCACCTATAAGAACAACAATTTCTAATAGAACGTTGGAACCCAACATAAATAAGGAAAACCCTGAGCCATCATTGGTGAATTCAGTTAAACAGGTCCAGATAAACCACAACATTGGTCCAGAAAGAACTGGCAGATGTGACTGTTGGGCTACTGTCAGAGCTATTTGACAGATCATGAAGGACTAGAGAACGGCAAATGCTCCATTTGCAAAAAGGGAAGAGAATGGAATTGGTAAAGTGTAGGCCAGTGACCTAGGTTTGTTTAACGGCAAAATTCTAGAATAGAAAATGAAAAAGATGGTCAGTGAACTTCTAGAAAAGAATGCAAAGTATCACCAAGAACCAGCATAGTTTCATCAAATGCAGGACAGGTTGCCCCAACCTTATTTCTTTTTTTTTCCAAACAGGATTACTAAACTGGTAACTCTGGTAGCTACTATAGATAGAGTTTACCTTTCAACTCTGATTCTGTAATTTTAGGTTTCCTTTTGAAATGTAAGTTCAGGGGAGAGGGAGGGGAGAGAGAAACATAGATGCAATAACATGTTGAATGAATGAGTGTATTAGCTTTTTACTTGATGGGGGAGATTGTGACCATCAGACAAGGGGGCTAGGCACCTGGCAGGGAGGGAGCACTTCTCCATTAAGGAGAAGGAAAAAGGAGAAATGGATTTGTGAGTTATGTCATAGTTCTAGAGAGTTAGATCATAGTTCTAGAGTTGTGAAGGGCCTCAGAGACATTCTCATTCAACCCCCAAATTTTACAGATGCAAAAATTGAGGCCCCAGGAATTAGGTGACTTGCCCAAGGTCACCCACACAGTAAGCATGAGAAGGATTTGAGCCCAGCTTCTCTGACTCCAGAGCTAGCGAGCTTTCTGTTGTATCGTGCCGCATTGAGCTGGAACAAAAGAGAAAGAGATGAAGTGCATGAAGGTTCAAAGATGGGAAAAGGGTGAAAAAGTGGAGAGATTTGTGAGCTGCAAATGCTATTCAGCTGGTCAGAGGCCAAAGTATTCTTAATCCCTAAGGCACTGGAGATGTGTTAGAGGAAATTCCTTTCTGAGAACATTACAGTTTGGTACAGCATTTGGCAGAGGCTTCCCTCTGTTGTTTCCTATTTATCCTGTATCTAGCTTGTTTGTACGTAGTTGAGTTGTGTTCATGTTGTCTTCCATATTAGAATGTGAGCTCCTCAAGGGAAGGGACTATTTTTTTTTCCTTTCTCTGTATCCCCAGTGTTTAGCACAGTGCTTGGCACATAGTAGGTGCTTTGTTGCTGTTGTTCAATCATTTTCAATCATGTCTGGCACTTCATGACTCCATTTAGGGTTTTCTTGGCAAAGATACTGGATTGGTTTGCCATTTCCTTCTCCAGCTCATCTTACAGTTGAGTTAACTGAGATAAACAGGGTTAAGTGACTTGCCCAAGGTTACACAGCTAGGAGATATCTGAGGCCAGATTTGAACTCTGAAAGACGAGTCTTCCTGATGCCAGGCCCAGTGCTCTATCCACTGAGCTGCACCAGTGGATGCTTAATAAATGTTTATTGAATGGCTGACATAGCTATTGAGAATTCAGACTTCCATGTCACAGTAAGGAATAAAGTGTAAGGCAGAGAATTTTAGCAGTGGATTATTATTACACTTAATAAACATCTATTGGTTGAGTAAATGAATGAATTCATAAGGTGCAACTGAATCAACCTTGGGAGCCTAGATGCTGCTATTTAAGCTCCTACATATCTGTCCTGGATATTAAATTATTGCTTTATAACCCTAATGTCTTTACTCTCTATTTGCATAGACAGACTAATCTTGTGATAGCAAGAACAGAAATATTAGAATTCAGAATAATCCTGTTGCTTGCATCTCTGTATTAAGGTCTAGGTGCCCCAAAGTGGTAATCTATATCTTCCCTGGGGGGCTCACTCTCTTAACCATTTCTACCCTATTCCAGATTGAGGAGGTGGAGAAATCTCTCCTATTTTCTTTTTTTCTAGAATTTTGATGAGAGGCAAGAAGGTGTTTGTGGCTATTGACCACTGATGAACTAAGATACCTTCCCACACTTTATGATGTGTCATGTTTTTTCAAGCACATTCACCTTCTCTGTCTCATTTGGACTCTATTTGTTACAAAGAGGTATTATCAGGGGAACATATTAGGAAATCAGTGGG